GCATGTAAGCGAAATCTCCTTATGCCCCAGTCAATGCAAGAGAGGAGGTGCACGCGTCGTATATTGCGGGACGATCTCCAGCCACCGTAAACGCGGACCAAAACCAGACCCGAGCGTACGGCACATAGTACGTAGCCTCAATGAGGCTGAAGTTAAAATATATGTTTCTTGTTATTACATTGTTTGTTACAAACACAAATGCTACTTTCTTGTCCTTATGGTCTACAGATAATAAAAAATACACGCGACTACGCGACATCACGCATAATGTTATACTCTGTGGATCATAGACAAAAGTTTTTGTTTTTTTTTGTTCTTTAGTTATTAATTTTTTAATTCATTTAATTTTTATATGTATCATTTAGTTTAGATTTTTAGTATTATTTTATTTTCTTCTTTTTTTGTATTTTTGTTTTATGTGTGTGCGCTTGCGCGAAAATAAATGTTTTTTTTTTCTTCTTTCTTTCTTTCAGAAGTTCAGCCGGAATTTCGGGACAGGCGCAATAATGTACCGTGGTCTCTCATTTATCAAAATTACAAAAAAAGACATATCGCATTCTTAAACTTTTCTGCTACATTTCACACTCCAAAAGAAAAATACAGAAACATATAGTATTATTTTTATACTTCGCATACAATCGAAATATAAACATTCGGAACATAAAATTAAAAAAGTGACATGTCGATAACGTCACGCCGGAAATGACAAGGAGAGAAACATATTGTGTTCTCTTTTATAATAAAATACCCAAACAGTGGAAAGAGTTACCCTTACCAAAATTTAAAAGAAGATTCGAAAATTGCTTTTTAATAAAAAAAGTATCTTTATTTTTTTTAAACAATTTTGCATACACATCAACTCCCAGATCCGGAACGACAATTTGTGGATCGAGAGTTAACTCGGCAATTGGCTGCCGCGACACGTTGCGCGGCAGCCAATTGCCCAGCCCCCATGCCAACCGTGCAGTCGGTGTAAATTCCTCATAGAATAACATTTTATTATATATAGTATTTTCATCATGATTGATAACAACAATTTTAAAAGCCAATTTTTAAAAACAATTTTGTTTATGTAACTACCAGTATACATGTAATGTTTTTTTTAGTTAAATTATTATTTTTACTTTCAACGGCTATAAAAAAAATCTGTGTAAGTACTCATTATTAAAATTTGCATGCCTTCTTAGCATAATATGGCTGAACCATTAAAAATGTATCTGCATCACCTGTTGTTTTTTTCTAAATTATTCTATATATGCAATCAATTTCATATTTTCTGTTCGTTCCAAGTTAAAGTTTGTAAGGTTATATAAAAATTGACTGACTGACTGACTGACTAAATTGCCTGAAAATTCTCTTATAAAGATAATTGACTGTTAAAGGCTATAGGGATGACGGCACAAATATTTAAGCAAAAAGGTTTTTTGCAACCTTTTTCAAAGAGAAAATGTTACCTACACACGTAATATTTTATTTTGAGATTCCTATACTATCGGGAGTTACAAGAAAAGAACAGTGGGTGGAAAATTTGTATAATAAATGAGAGAATATAAATTATTAGTTAGAGCTAAGATGTAGATTATATCTACTAAGTATAAAATAATATTTAAGATAATGTATAAATTACTAGCTTTTTAAATTACTAACTTAAATTTATTTTTATTTACATACCAGCTCCTGCCCGCGTCTCCGTTCGCGTGGAATAGTGACTTTCCGCAGATTTTTGCCATAAAAACTATTGTATGTGACTCAATATAGTTGAGTTCCAAATTATGACTGTACCAAATTCACAGAAATCGGTTCAGTAGTTTAGGCGTGAAGAAAAGACAGACAGACAGAATTACTTTCGCATTTATAATATTAGTTTGGATAGTTTGTATTAGTTTGGATATTTAGCACAAGCTCTAGAATAGATCTTTATCTACACTAATAATATAAAGAGGAACACTTTGTTTGTTTGTAATTAAAAGGCTCAAAAAGTACTGGACCAATGCAAAATTCTTTCACCATTCGGAATGTCTATTATTCACAAAAAACATATGCTATATTATTTATTGGGTTACGAAAGATTTTGGTTATTTTGGACACAAGGTGTAAAAAATCTAAAAGGTTTGCGACTTAACTATATCGAGTGAGGCACAACAACCATTTATTTATTTAAAAATGAAGTTTTTGGACTATATTTAAACGTTTTTATTTTATAATGCTATTAATCGATATCAAAATACGTTACGTCATCACTAAATACAGTTTAGGTAGATAATATTTGGTCTTTTACTAATTCAAATTGAAAGTTTACTTTTGAAGTTATGGCGAAATTAAAATCCCTATTACAATTTCTGCTACACGGCCCGTTGCCAAGTGCGTTTCACTCTTCGCTTGAGGTTTTTTATACAAGAGGAAGCGGACGCCTTAACCTCTGGTTCACCAAGACATTTTCTAGAAAAAATAAGCCGCTTTTAACCAGATAACTCCAGAAACGAGTAAGTTGTAAATCTACATAATATATATTCTACAAACAAACTTTTGTACAAACACCTCCGAACTTGCCCCTTGAAATTGAGTTATTAAATATTTAGGTACATAGCAAGACTGGAACGTTTTGTTAAAAAAAAAATTCCGTATTCCCAATGCGACTTGTTACTCCTTGAACAATTATTTGCGTATAAGATAGAAACGTATGTGAATGATCGATATATTCAAATAATGTTAAATATTATATTATTTTTGAACGACATATCATGTTTACTTTTGATTTTTGACACGTTTTGGCGATTAGGGGATCTATCAGATTATCAAAAATTTTGAGGATGTTGCTTCCCTCAGGGCAGGACGTTATGGACACAATATAACACGATGTGATCTTTAATTTATATGTTATTTATTAAGTATAATATATTTGGATATTTGGGAAGGGAGGGGTCCCTTCCCAAATATCCAAACCTCAAAATCCCACAAGGTCAGCAAATCTCTTGCAACTGCTCATGTACTGCTTAACATCAGGTAATACGAATGTTCGATTCCTATACTAACTCATGAAAGTAAAAATTGATTATTTTTTATTGAATTAAAGATTTAATAGTAATTACTAAACACACATAAATGTAATTAACAATAGCAGAACATTTAATAGCACTTACTGATTTTGAGCTGAGCAATCAGTAGCGTACCCTACACAGATGACTATTGTTTCATCTAGGAGATCAAAAGATTAATCTATCGTTACCCGATCCTTAGCTACTGCCAGAGCCAGTTTCCATTGAATACTCCGAAACATGACCTAGGGCCCCGCTAGTCTTAGGGACCTGCCACCCCAGAAAAATAAAAGAACGAAATTGAGCATTTGCATCGTGTGTTTTTTTTGTTGTGTTTTTATCACAACCCAATCACACCCACATCACCTTGCCTTTCTTTCTAGTCCTCAAGTGACTTCTCTTACCCTAAGTGAGGTGAGAGGAAGTGTCAGTCTCTTAATGATTTAAGTGTGGGAGAGCCATACTTAGGCACGAATGGGTCGGCTCGACCGGAGTGATACCACGGCCTCACAGAAGACCGGCATGAAACAACCACAGCGTTGTGTTTCGCCGTGTGAGTGAGGTTACCGGAGGCCCAATCCCTCCCCGCCCCCAATCCCTCCTCAATCCCTAAATCTCCAAATCCCTAATCCCTAAAAGGTCGGGAACTCACTCGTAACTCCTCCGTTGCGAATGTCCATGGGCGGCGCTGATTGCTTACCATCGGGTAATCCGTTTGCTCGTTTGCCGACCAATTACATAAAAAAAATGACTAAAAACGTTTCCTCCCCAGGCCGAGGCGCCTTTTTTGCGGTTGGACCGCAACCCCGACCCGGCTGAACGTCGACCGTGGCCTGTGATGGTCTCTGTGAGACGCCTTAAGCCTTATTCATAGCTTTGAAGTAGGTGAGACCGTGTATCGTAGTCAAAATATATAGGATTATTAGTATTTATTTCTTTGGAAAAAGACCTCCTGTTTCGTGGTTGCGTTTACAAACATACAATTTCACATACATACACATCTCACCCAGACCCGGAACAACAATTTGTGGATCACACAAAGAGTTTTTCTGTGCGGGGCGTCGTCATGTTGCGTCACGTTGCACGGTAGCCAGTTGCCCAGCCACCGCGTCAACCGTGTAGACAATTTAGTAAAAAAATAAACTTTATAAATGCAATTCAATGAACATTTTTTTTTTCTAAAAACCCTACACATTATTTTTGTCTTCAGAGTCCCCTAAATAGTGTAAAGACGGCCCTGGTTTTTGCTAACGCTAATGCAGTGCTTAACATGAACCGTATTGATGTTGGAACATCCGACCTTCCTAATGGGAATCCTGTGTCGATTTAATGTACGGTCTCAGATTATGAACGGGTAAGGTCGATGGCATTTTGATTTCATTGTTTTGACTTTGAAGTTAGTTATACGTAAGTGGAAATAAAGGGAATCCAGAATTACTTTAGTTGGTATAACATATTTTTTGAATTATTTTTCTTATCCTGGCTGAGTGTTAAGCTCCAGGGGCACTGGTATTCTTAACGGGGTTGATTGAATGCAAAACTTGTGATTGTTAAGACTTATAGACTGTGTATGTTTGGAGATAGTTCAGAAGAAGTTAAGGCGAGAAAAGACAGGTAAAGATTGATCCTCTTCCAAAAAAAAATTACATTGATTACTTTTTTTATTATTTTCGGCGTAGCAGCGACCTAAACAACTATGAAACTAACAAACGATTTTAATTTTTAAAAAAATGTACCTATTATAAATAAACCTAATTTATTAATCACGCCGCTAAATTACAAAAGATTGTGTAGTAGCCTAACTTCCTTAAAAATATACCAATGATATCATTTTGACAAAACAAATCAATATTTTTATATTCAAAATAAAGAATATTTATCTATTTAATATCTTATCAATTTCCTTATGAACTGGAATTCGCTATTATCGCTAATCATATCCAACAATTAAATCAGTAATTATGATTTATCAATATTCGTCATAGATAGTGCATTCGGAAACAAAAGACGGTGTGTGATTGTGTTATTAAAATTAAAATTTAATTTAAATAATGTGTTCCAGTGTTGTTCTGTGTTAGAAAAGAGTTTCGCAATATTTTTTTACACAAGTAAGTGGTGTTTTGTGTTTTTTTGTTATGTGGTGCGTAGGCGTGATTTTAGCGAAGAAAGTTAGAAATTGTGGCTCTTTTGGTTTTCTAAGTGAGTTGTAAACTTGAGTTTTAAGTGGTAAACGAGTCTTGGTTGCACAAATACTCAGTGAATATGCTCGTAAAATTACTTGTAAAAGTATTTGTTATTTTTATGTACTGGAGATTAGCAGATTTGTATGAAGATTTGTTATGGGTACTTTTTAAACTTATAGTTTACGATATAGTTTACAACATTTAGTTATTATGGTTTGAAACCTGTATGAAAATGTGCACGTGAAATTGTATGTTTGTAAACGCACAAACGACACAGGAGAAAATAGTAATGGGGGGCAACGTTTTTTATTTAAAAAAACCTACCTAGTAACAATATGGCTCTTCCTAAATACTTTCTTACATTACTTTGACATTCTTACATTACTGACAGAAAGTGAAAGTAAAAATCGCGATCGCTAAGCTTACTTTTTTGATTGGAAAAAATCATCAGATGACTTCCTCCAGTCCTGGTTTAGGCGAGAGGGAGTGCCAAACTCTTATCGACTAAAAACCACCGGATCGTGAGGAAACCGGGACTTATAGTTCCAAATATCAAGCGTGGTGATTTTGGTCCTTCCTTCTTCATCTGAGAAGAGACCTTTGCTCCACATTGGGATAGTTATAAGCTGATGACATGATATGTATATAATAAAACATACATTCTTCGTACCGATATGACGTCGATACATATTATAAAAACAATACCTACGTGATAATAAATACCTTTTTTATTTCTGACTATCTGTTTAATAAGTAGGTTTATATAAACGTTCGAAATGTCAAAAAGAAGAAATATTTAGACTAATGTCGTATTACATATACCTATACTTGTCGTGGTGGCCCGGAGGTTAAGGAGCTCGCTTCTCATGCATGAGGGTGTGGGTTCGAAACCTGGCAAGTACGAGTTATGTGTACTTTCTATGATTATTTAGACACCACTGACATACGATGAAAGTAAACATCGTGAGGAAACCTGGACTTATAATTTCTAATTATAAGTTTGAAATCGCCAACCCGCACTGAGCAGGCGTGGTGATTAATGCTCTAACCTTCTCCGTATGAGAAAGAGGCCTTTGCTCAGCAGTGGGCACTTATAGGATGATGATGATGATGATATATATATATCTATACTTAAACATTATTTAAATAACTAGCTAAGTGTCGGTGAAGCTATTAGTGTGTTTATCTCTGTAAAATTGAGCCAAAGTTGAGCCAAGCCTAAAGTTCCTTCAGAAGGAGTTGTGGTGAAGAAGGAACGGTTGGTTTTAGTCAGTAAGAACCTAACATTCCCTCTTGCCCCAATAAGGGTATGAAAAGTTATTTGATGATTTTCTCCCACAACAAAAAAAAACTAAAGTCAACCCCATATCTCTTTTTACGGCATAGGTAACTAAAACGAGCAGAATGATCGCCTGATGCTAAGCAATCAGCGCTGCAAATGGAACCTCGCAACACCTGACTAGTTTAAAGTGCGTTGTCTACATTATTAAGGTTGATAGGAATTCTAGGATTGCACATGAGACGAGGGACACCGTGAAACGAAATGCAAGCGCTATTTCACACCGGTTTTCTGTAAGGCCGTGGTATCACTCCGAATTCGTGCCGAAATTTAACTCTCCCATACTTAAATTATCTAAACGACCTATAGCTGTCTAGAGACCAAATAAAATTAATCCTCATTCACCTCAAATTACCTAAACTGAAGTAATAAGTATCTACGTTTATCAAAGTCTTATTGTTTTCGCAAAACTATTTTTTTCGGCTACTCATGAAGCTATGAAATAACCAGAATAAAAAGGTCTTTCAATATGTGGAAAGATAATCCAATACGAGACTGTATTAAGCTGGTTATAAAGCTTGTTGTGTAGGTGTGTTCAAAATTTTGCCTAAGTAGCTTCTGTGCGCGGTGTCACCTACACATATTATACATATGTATTTGTATGTATCTTTGTGCCAAATGTCACCTAGATCCGCTCAGTAATTTTTAAGTAAAAGAGTGACAATCACCCATCTAGCTATTCTTACAAAATTTTGCGTTTATTATATGCATGTCGAAAGTACATATAACTCAGAAAAAGTCAGTTCAGTCAGTCAGTTGCCCTGAAGTTAAGGCTAAGGTTAAGATTTAAAACCTGGCAAGTACAAACTGACTGACTGAACTGACTTTTTCTGAGTCTGACTTAACCTTAGCCTTAACTTCAGGTACCGGCCCTGAAGTTAAGGCTAAGGTTAAGATTTAAAACCTGGCAAGTACAAACTGACTGACTGAACTGACTTTTTCTGAGTTATATGTACTTTCTATAACTTATCTGGAAACTACTGTCAAAGGGTGAAAGAAAACATCGTGAGAAAACCTGGACTTATAATTTCTAATTATAAGTTTGAAATCGCCAATCCTCCTTGAGCAAGCCTTGTGTTTAATGCTCAAACATTCTTTGTGTGAGAAAAGGCCTTTGCTCAGGAGTGCGCACTTATAAGCTGATTATGCGTATGTGATGTGATTATTTTGGTAGGATAAAAAATCTTTGAAGACACCAGAAGGTAAACCAGAAGACACACAATACAACAAGCACTTTTCGTCAACTATAAACAAATTCCTTTATTGTCCAGAAAAAAATGAAAGTTTAGGTAATATTACGCTGTCTGAATCATTTTATTGTTTATCTAAACATAAAACAAATAACAATGGTTATTGTACAATTATATGAAAATCACAATAATAATGAGTTCACAAATAATCCCGAAACGGTATTGAGTAGTAGGTTCTGTGTCTAGTAAGATTGATAGTTGCTCTTGTCAGTTAGGTCATCGTTTTTTCACTTCATCATCAGATCTGCATGTGAGTACTGAATATTTCTATTCATATCAACTTACAAGTTTCCTATTATTATCTACTATCCATCTAGAAGTATGGGAGAGCCATTTTTCGCCACGAATCGCACTTGCAGTAACTCCTTTGGTTTTACGAGAGACCATGAGCGGCGCCAATTGCTTAAACCTGGTTATCAATGTACTCGTTTACTGACCTATGCCATACGAAAATACAAGTCATCCATGAGGCTACCAATTCTCGATCTAGCTCTTCCCTCAACCCCAATCCTTCTTTTTTAATTGATAAGACGGCAAATGAGCAGACAGATTACCTGAAGGTAAGCAGTCAACTCCGCCCATAGACACTCGTAATACCAAAGGAGTTACTGCAAGTGTGTTGCCTGCACTTTGTCGGTCATTAGAGATTTAATAATTAAATAAATAAAATGTGTTTATTACCAGCATTTGTACAGTTAAGTTGCCAGGGCTTCCTAAAAAGTAATCCATTTAAAGAAAGGAGGTTTGAAGATTGAGAGTGGGGAGGAAAGGATTGGGTCTCCGGTAACTTCGTTTTTCTTAAAGTACTTCTCCCCCAAAAGAAAGGCAACGCACTAGTGACTTCGCTGGTGTTGTGACTGTCCATTGTTGTTGATTTCTGTTCATCAGGTGACCCGTAGACTCGTTTGTCAACCTATCACATAATAAAAATCAGTCAGACAAAAGGTTCTACTCACGAAAATAAGAAGAATTATTTTTGTCTTGTCGTTCCTTTTTTTTTTGGGGTGTCGCGTTGGAAAATCCTCATGGAGACCCACCGCCCTCGGGGTAAGGGCGGAAGGGTACTGTCAGACTCTTACTGACTAAAAACCAACCCGGTGTTCCTCCAATAACCCATGTGTCGGAGGGGCGGGTATCGCCGAAGCATTCGTCGCTTCCCTTTCTTTTTTAACAGACTTTTATTTGGTCGAGCTATATGTAACTAACTATTTAATACAAATTAGATTAAAAAAAATGAATTTCACTAAATGCTTATTGTGTATTATTATTTTTTCAATATTATGGTATTATTGAACTGTTTCGATGGTGGGGTCTTGGATTACCTATTATTAATTGGATTCATCCAATGATAACATGTCCATGTCTCCCAATAATGAGGACATATATATAATTAAAAGCGAGTTTTTGTAAACAACGAATTTTTCATTGTTTTACACGACCTAATAGGATTAATAATAGGCTATTCCAAACTGACCGATAGCCTCCCTAGTGGGTGATCAAGACTTGGCTCAGGGGGCGCGGTGAAATGCAACAAAAAATGGGTACCTACTGAAGAAAGTTAGGGGCGATATGGGATTTCATTAGTTAGATACCAATGTTTTGTGTAAATCAATCTTTTATTTAGATTTTTATAAGTGTATGGTATACAAGATAAACTTGAGAACCGCTCATCAACCGCGCATCAATGGGTGCCTTATACCCTACTCACTGCTCTGTAATACATACATATTATAATGTTTAAACAAAAATTTGTGGTTGGCAAAACCAATGTTTTGGTCGAAAACCAAAACAGCTGGTTTCTCTAATCACTGCACCAATTGGGTACTTTCCTAGGTCAAAAATAAATTAATTCGACGTTTCAATATTCTTAATAATATATTGAAAAATAACTACTTATACTTTTATTCATCGATCGATCGATACACTAAGTTTTAGATATTTTAGCTAATTTTTAAGAAAAAAATAAACTATTTGACCCAATCATAACTTACTTTTTCGTACAAAGGACATGGCCAAAAAAGTACATTCCACGTACACGAACAAAATTAATACACTGTAAAATACAAATAGAAATATGAATTATCACGTAGTTTTTAGCCTCTCCAGACCTGACAATTATTATTAAAAAAATGTAAAAGTAATGCAACAAAATCAAGTTCGTTTGTCAAGTTTCGCCATAATAGTCCATAGAGAAAGATAAATAAAAAGACGTTCCAATTCCAAACCACGTGTCTTAAACTACACTCGTAGAAAACGTGTGATATGATCGACAAATGCATTACAATAGGAACATTTTATTCACACGAAACTATTCACTGGTTTTAGTTGCATTTTAA